CCGCATTAGCACTTCGTGAACTTGCTAATGAACTGTGTAAACCATTATCCGCAATATTTCAAAAGTAATTTGAAGAAGGCAAGCTCTCGCAGGAATGAAAGTGCGCACTCATCACTCCAATCCATAAAGGAGGCTCATGACTTGACTGCGGAAATTATCGTCCCGTCAGTCTTACTTGGATCGCGTGTAAAATAATGGAACGCATTATCACAAAATACTTGATGCAATACCTGGAAAAAAACGAAATACTGTGTGATGCCCAGCATGGCTTTCGTCCAGGACGCTCCTGCCTAGCGAGTGTTCTTTACTCGCACGAAACGTGGACAAGAGCTACCGACAAGGGTTATCCAGTGGATGTCATATTTTTGACTTAAAGAAGGCCTTTGTCAGTGTCCCACACGGGCTTCTTCTACAGATGATCTGGAATGTAGGAGTTCGCGGAGGGATGTTGAAATGGATCAGGCGTTTTCTGTCCTCCGGAGTTCAAAGAGTCGTTGTTGATAACTGTAACTCGAACTGGGAAAAGGTGCAAAGTGGTGTCTACAGGGTTCTGCTTTAGGCCCAGTAATCTTCCTGATTTATATAAATGCTTGCATCAGCGAACTGGATTGCGAAGCCTTCAAGTTAGCGGATGACATGAAAATATGGAGTGAAGTCAAGTTCGATGGTGACGCAAAGAATATGCAGTTGAACATCCACAAACTGTGAGCTTGGTGGAACAAATGGCTTTTGAAGTTTAACGTGTCCAAACGCGTGGTCATGCACATAAACACCGGCCGCAATGCCTCCACCAAACACCAGTACTATATTAACGGAATGGAATTAGAAACTGTAGAAAGACAGAGATGTGGGTGCATGGACAAGCACAAATCTAATGCCATCAGAACACTGTAGAAAGATGATCCCGAAGACATCTAATACTTTACAGTGGATCAGAAGCGCATTAAAAGAATTCCCTCCCGAACTCCTCGAAGGACTTTTTGGCGTATTTGTTAGACCCCATCTGGAATACGAAATGCCAGCAGGTTCATCATGGACGAGGAAGGATACCGACTTACCCGAACAGGTGCGGCACAAAGCAATGAAGATGGTCAATGGTCTAAAGTATTTGCCTTACCAGGAGAGGCTGTGTGCTCGGCTTATTCCCTCTCTCTTATAGGCAACTAAACTGCAGTCTACTCCGGACAGTCCGGATTGTCCATGGCCAGCGTTCTTCACTAAGAACGGTGGACTTCTTTGAATTTGCCCGTATAAGCCAATTACGCGGTCATCCTTACAAAGTCAAGAGTGGACGCACGCGGCCAGACCGTAGGAAGTTTTCCTCCAGTCAGAGGGCTTTCCGACCACGGAACTCGCTACCAAGCGAGATCGTGACGGTGGACACAATTATCATGCTTAAAAGAAAACTTGTTCGCTTAATTTTTGACGGAAACAGGTTTTTGCAAAATGACTTCTCACAACCAGCTCTGTAAAACAATAGCATACACAATCTTCCCGTACCTACTTACAGTGAACTGATGCGCTTCCTTATAATTATGATTTTACTGTGACCCGATCACATTGTAAATGTCCGCAACTGTATTTTGAGAACGAATCTACGAAGAAATTGTACATAAATAGGGTCATCAAGGGCTCTGCCATTAACCTTCCAAATACATACATGCATACATCAATACGAGGTAAAGACTCGAGGTTCAGATATTGTGTCGCGTTCATAATCGTTGAAGTACAAGTGACAAAGCTGGTAAGGGCAACTGTCTGCCGCTAGGCGACTATCACCAGACAAATCCTCCACTTCAGAAGCAACCATCCCGTTGGTCACAAACGCAGTTGTGTCAGAACCTTCTTCCAACGCGTTCAAGCATACTGCATCGACGACAGTGGGAAGAAGGAGAAAATTACGTACTTTCACACCCTATTTAAAGCCAAAGGTTATACCAAGTCCTTCATACACAAGTTTCTTGGAAAGCCCCACCCTGAGCGGTCGGACGGAGAAAACCCGAAATTTTGGTTCACAATACCTTATGTGAAAAACGTGTAAGGGGCGACGGTAAGAATCCGGAAGTCTTTGGGTACCGGCATGGCTCATAAGCCAGAGTCAACAATCAGACAGCAAATAATGCGGCCTAAAGACCCGCTACCAGTGACAGAACAATCAACGGTGGTCTACAGCATACTATGCCAAAATTCTGATGCGAAGTATGTTGGTTAAATGGGCAACCGTCTTGACACAAGATTGTGTGAGCACCAGATTGCAATCAAATGCAAGAACAAACTGTCTATGGTTTATGGCCACGTACGACAGAAGAACCACAATTTCGCCTTTGAGGAGGCAAGGGTAATCGTCCGAGCCAATGATAAGATGGCCCGACTTATGCTCGAAAGTTGGTCCTCGACTGGCACATTCAAACGAGCCATAAATTAGCATCCCTCCTACCAGGCGCCACGCACAAGGCTCGGGTCAGTGCGGACAAGTCCATCAGGACAGTCGTACAAAGTCACGCATGGCCGACACTCCATGCCAGCGGAAAACAGGAGATAAGCCAACCGGAAGTCATGTGACCAGCATGGGACGCCATCTCACCGCGACGCTTGCTAGAGTGAGATCAGTCAGTCAGTGTTTTTGAGGGAAATAGGCTTACGCCTTTGAACTCCCTATTTGTATAGAAAAATCGATAAATAATCAAAAATGTGAGGAAATTGCAGCGTTAAGTGAATGCAGACATTGGTTCACATATGTCACTGGTCTCATGGCTAAAAAGTCACATAGTCCGTTTGTTGCTGCAGCATATGTCTGTCAAGCCGACATTTTAAATGTTTCCACAGATTGAGACATGACAACCGCCTCGGGCAGATTATTCCACGGTTCCACGACACGGTTGAAGAAAAAATACTTCCTCGCATTCAGTCTACCCTGGGACACACGTAGCTTTAATGGATATCCCCGGAGGTAAGTTGTTGTGGCGAGTTGGAAAAAGTCGTCGCAACGAAGGGCGCAGTCCAAGCCACGCACGATACGGAAAGTGTGTATCAGGTCTCCGCGCAACTGCCTCTAACTCAGAGGATAGAGATTAAGGTTAGTTAAGCGGATCTCATATGGCAGTGCACTTTGACCTCTTACTAATTTTGTGGCTCGCCTCTGCACCCTTTCGATCAGACTGTAATCCTGATGCGTCCACGGTCACCAGGCCTGAATTGCATATTCGAGGTGCCGCCTTACAAACGTACCGAAGACTTTGGAGAAGCAGTCTTCATCGAAAACTGCGAATGCCCGCTTGATGGTGTACAGCATTGAAGTTGCAGCCTTGGCTGCCTTACAACATTGTATATGTATATGTATATTGAAGGGTTACAGGCAGAGCCCTTGATGACCCTATTTATGTACAGTGCTTTCGCAGATTCGTACTCAAAAATAAAATAAAATTGCAGGCATTTAAAATGTGATTGGGTCACAGTTCAATCGTAATCATAAGGTAGTGCATGGCGTCACTGTAAATTAGCGCGGAAGATTGTATATGACAGATTTTACAAAACTGGCTGTGCATAGTCATGCTGTACAAGCCGATTTCTGTCGAAAACTAGACGAGCAAGTTTTCTTTTAAACACACAACCTGTGTCAGTCGTCACCATCTCGCTTGGAAGCGAGTTCCACGGCCTGACAACCCGCTGGCTGAATGAAAATTTTCGTCGGTCTAAACGCGTGCGCTCATTCCCGACTTTGTATGCATGGCCGCGTAGTTGGTTTGTACGGGCGAACTCAAAGAAGTCCTCTGCCCTTAATGAGCAACCCTGGCCGCGAACAATCCGGAACGTCCCGAGTAGACTGCAGTTTATTTGTCTATAAGAGAGAGGGAATAGGCCAAGCAAATTCAGCCTCTCCTGACAAGACAAATGCTTTAGACCGTCGACCATCTTTGTCGCTCTGCGTTGCACCTGTTCGAGTAAGTTGATATCCTTCCTCATCCATGGTGAAGCTGCTGGCGTTCCATACTTTAGATGAGGTCTTACAAAAGCACCAAAGAGTCTTTCGAAAAGTTCCGGAGGAAATATTTTAAATGTACGTCAGATCCAGTGTAGAGTACTAGTTGCCTTCTGGACCATCTTTCTGCAGTGTTCTGATGGCGATCGATTTGTGGTCGTACATACACCCAGATCTCTGTGTCTTTCCACAGTTTCTAACCTCGTCCCGTCAATATAGTACTGGTGTTTGGGAGAGGCATTGCGGCCGGTGTTCAGGTGCAAGACCACGCATTTGGACACGTTAAACTTCAAAAGCCATCTGTTCGACCAAGCACACAGTTTGTTGATGTTCGACTGCAACTTCTCTGCGTCATCATCACACTTGACTTCACTCCATATTTTTATGTCATCCGCGAACATGAGAGCCTCGCAATTCACTTCGCTAGTGCAGTCATTAACATAAATCAGGAAGAGTACTGGACCTAAGACAGAACCCTGTGGGACACCACTTTCCACCTTTACCCATTCCGAGGTTGAATTACTAACGACGACTCTTTGTAGTCTGGAGGACAGAAAACTCCTGATCCACTTAAACATTCTCCCTTGAATCCCTACATCCCAGATCTTTTGTAAAAGAAGCCTGTGTGGGACACTGTCAAAGGCCTTCTAGAAGGCTTTAGGCTGTCCGCAACTCAGAATCCGAGATCTTTCCGCGTTTCTGCTTCTCGAAATGGTATTCCGTTCAGATGGTATTGGCGCGTACTAGGGGCCTGATTTCCGAGGCGCAGCATGGTACATTTGTTCAAATTGAAGGACAAGAGCCATCTGCGGAACCACTCGTCCAATCGACAAAGATTTTCTTGGGAGTTGGTCTCATCGGCAGCATTCTGGATTACTTTCCAGATTTTTATGTCATCCGCAAACATAGCACTATCACAGTCTAAACCATCTACACAATCATTGATTAACAAGAGAAGGAGGGCTTGTCCAAGCACCGAGCCTTGTGGGAGTGCACTCTCTGTGAATGTGCGCCTCGATTGATGTTGTTCTACGCAGACAATTTGGGAGCGGCCGACGAGGAAATTCTCGATCCATTTGAGCAGTTTGCCGCCGATGCCCATTATTCTCAACTTGTGCAGGAGACGTTGGTGCGGAGCACTGTCGAACGCCTTCCGGAAATCCATATAGGCCACGTGCACAGTGTGCTTTGCGTCCAGTGCTCTTGTCCAACTTTGCATTGTGTATAGCAATTTCGTTACACATGATCTTCCCCTACGGAAACCATGTTGTGCATTGGACAAGAGGTTGTGGCTTTCCAGATAAGTCATCAACTCCTTCTTTATGGTTTTCTCCATCACTTTACAGCAGATTGATGTCAGACTGACGGGTCTGTAGTTCGTCGCAAGAGCACGACTACCGATTTTGTAAAGGGGTGAAACGTGGGCCGTCTTCCAGTCTGTGGGAAGGATTCCAGCATCAAACGATTCCTGGCACAGAAAGGATAGTGGTTTGGCTAGCTCTTCGGCAAGCTCGAAAAGCAACTTTGCTGGGATCTCGTCCGGACCGGGAGATTTACATTCCCTCAAGCTTTTTAATTCTTCGAAAATCGCTTCTTCTCGAAACACTATATCTTCGATGGTGGGATCTCCCATTTTCTCGGAACTAGTTGGAATAAAGTCTGCTTCTCTAGTGAAAACGGATTGGAAAAATTGAGAAAAAATGCTCAGCTTTATTTGTACTGTCCGATATTTCCAAACCGTCATCATTCCTCATGACAAGAATGGGATTCCTGTTACGTGTGTTTTTCCGCAAATAGCTGTGGAGCAATTACGGATTTTTAACGGCTCGGTGAAGCAAACTACTATCGAAATCCCGTCGCCTCCAGAAAATCAGGTTTTTCACCTTATTTCTTTGGATTTTATATGCCGTAAACGCTGCAATGTTGCTGTTTTCGCGGAATATCTTCCACAACCTTCCAAATCAAATGAGCCCCAACAACTTCTCAGTCCGTTGATTGACGAGGAGGAGGCCAACAAGCATGCTGGCAATTACGACGGCCAAAAGGGAGTCAAAGGTGACACGAGCCCTTGGGCGGTCAATCGCGGAGAGGTCTATGCTGATCGGCGCGAACGGGAAGGCCATACTTCGTGCCTTGTGCACGGATATAATGCCAGGTAGGCATCAAAGTTGAGAAAATCAAGACCAGCAGGAACAGCCAACACACTAATCTGATGACGGAAATGAGAGGGCTTCCGAAACGTTAGTTCCAATACGGTTTGGTTTTTGAATTCGCGCTCTCTTCTTCTTCGTCTTCTTTGGGGGATGGTGAACGCAATACATACATACATGCATACATGCGTACATGCATATAAGGGTGTGAATTATTAGCCATAATTACGTTCGTCAAGCAGTTCCGCCCTTACCTACTGGGCAATTCTTCTGATGTGTGCTGTGATAAAAAGACCATAAAATGGCCGCAAAGTGCCAAGGACGCGCACGGTCAACTAGCCAAATAGCAAGTAATCTTACAGGGGTATACCTTTAATTGCACATAACCCCCGGACAAAAAATGCTAAGGCAGAAGCCCTCTTACGAGGCTCCATAGACCTAGATACTATGGAATGTCACACACTGCTGGATGACGCCAAAGTCTTCTTCACAGGTGAACCAGTCTGGCACCACTGGGCAGTGCTTCAGAACAGGGGTAAAAACGCAGTAATAATATACGATCATTTACTGCACGGAAGACACCCACCTACCGATATCGAGCTACGCGGGTATTCAGAAACTGCTCACGCGCTCCTTAGTCAATGGCCCCAAATGTTTATAGACAGCAACATCCTGTTTTTCAGAGATGCAATAACCAAGAAAACACGAGTAGTTGTGCCTGGGGGCATCGTCCAACCGCGCCGAGTTGGGCCATTTAGGATAAAATAAAACTGAGGCAGCATCTCGACAACGGTTTTGGTGGTCACATCTACACGAACAAGTGGCCACCTAATGGAACACTTACAGTACCTGCGCTTCCCTTGTCACCTCAGCTGCAGAGCCGCGGATATCTCCAGCCGATGTTCATGAGCTTTCCATTCCAACGTCTCAGACTTGACATCGTGAACTCTCTGCCATTTACCACATCAGGCAATGGATTTATACTAGTGATGGTTGACTATTTTACTAAATGGGCGGCGGCGGTGCTCTTGTTACGGCAAGATGCATCATCAGTGATGAGAGAAATTTTCAACGAATGGATGTACTGTTTCGGAGTAACGTTGTCTGTCCGCTCGGACTGCGGGGTCAACTTCAACAACAAACTTCTTCAGGACGCCATATACTAGTAGTCTGGTCGCATCTCCCTTCCCCCATGTTCGGATGGACTCTGATGAATGTAACAGACCGCATCTGGGTTCTTGTCGCCTCGAGACTGGTTGTCATCGTGCCCTTACAGAATGCGCTCCATCGGCGGTCTTGACAAAGCTTTCTATATTCGCCATATACTAGTAGTCTGGTCGCATCTCCCCCCATGCTCGGATGGACTCGGTTGAATGAAACCGACCGCATCTGGGTTCCTATCAGCTCGAGACTGGTTTTCAATTTCGCCACTTATTTTTCTTATTCATGGCGATACAGGCCAGTCCTGACCGACCCGCCTACGTACCATTTTATGAAATTCGTTACACAATGCCATATACAGCTGACATTTATTTCGGCCATGTTGATGTCGGACTATATTCAATTCTGTACCGCCACATGCATGCCAGTCCTCCCTGTATTTTTCTGATGCTATTTTTCTGAGGTTTTTTTTTTCTCCTGTTAAATTACTACAATCATTTTTAAATTTTGCTTTGGAGTTTTTTTTCACCCCTCGTTTTTTCATTTTCATTTTGCTTAACGGACTTCTAATCTCAAAAACTATGTATTGCACTTTGTACAGATTTTGCCTACCTCGTCTAAAATTCGCATGTAAATTTATTTTTACTTGCTTTGATGGGACCCCGACGGTCTTTAATAAAATAATTTACGTGTGCAACCTACATAACACTTACAAGACTCGCACAACACCTGCCTCCGGAAGAAAACGGAAATGTCGTGAGAACAAACCGAACAGTGATCCAGCTATTGCGGTCATTCGCTGAGTCAAATCACCCACACGACTGAGACAAAAGGTGCCAACTCGTAGGACCAGGCCACATTAGTTATATTGATCGTGCGAGTCAGCGAATATACATAAGAATACGAGGACACCTGCCGTCATAGCTGAGGAAAGGTAAAACTAAGAGTATTCACAGCTCTACCTCAAACACGTGTTTAATTCTGGACATCGTGCGAACCCCACCGTAGCCTTCCGTGTAATCTACAAGGTCCCACCTAACTATCCAAAGTGTCTGAGTCAGCGCTTACTAGTAACAGTTGAAGTGACTGCCATCAGGCTACGAAGACCGGTCCCAGGGGCGCAGAAGAACCTCTTACCCGCTCCGTGTCTACCGTGGCCGAAGATAGATTAAACACATGCATGTTTCCACGTCCCCATCCAGACTTCCAGATGACATGGCTCGACTTAACCCATACTGTCACTTCCTACCTCCTCTCCCCTATTCACACACCCCGGTTGTATGAAGAGACGAACTGTAATCAATTTCTCTTACTACTCACAATCTTTAGTTTTTGCCTCTTTCCCATATACATGTACTGACTCAATTAGAATTCATTGAAAACACGCGTATGCTCGCCAAACGGCCTTCTGAATTGTTCCATGCGAATTTTCGCAACTCCAGAACTACTATCATTGTTCTCCACTTTCTCTAAGAATCCTACCGCTCGCCTAAGTAAGCTTACGTCTAGAAAAAATGGTGTTTTGTTTTGAGCTGAAAAGTCTCACAGAGTTGTGCGGGAGAGTAATGCATCAATCGGCAGCTTGGTATCGGGCCATTGCATCTCGGAGCACTATGCCTTTGACACTTCCAAACTATCCTCAAGAGTACTCTTTAATTTTGATGAAACCACTGTTTATTTTGACCGTAGGAATTAAAGAATGCATGTTTTGGAACTTCATGCGGACATTTGCTGAAACTATTCTACAATTTTTAGAGAACCGAATAACTAAATTCTTTAATTTTTAGATCCATTCATTGCTTCCCATAACTTGGTATGATTTGTATCATGGTTGTAAAAGACCCCTCTTAGTCTTCTCGTTCACTTTTCTCCTAGTCCCTAAGGGGGACTCCAATGTTGCTTGGCGTACTGGGGTATTTACCTTACCGAAAATGAAAATCTATATTTTTTGTATGAATCGTTTCGTTGATTCGCAACCCTTATAAATCATAATGCTTGGAGTTGGTTATTTTCGTCGTGACTATGCCATCTCAGATTGCACATCCCCTGCTCCATGTCGTCTCCAGGCAGTTATTCAGATCACCAGTCACGCATAACTCCGAAGGTCTAAGCTGCCTGCACAGCAATGGACATGGACTAGTACAATGCCTTCCTGTTCGCACGCATGCCAGTTCTGTCCTTAAACACTTGACACACATAGACCAGTCGCAGCCCTGGCACTGACCGGCAGTTCCCGAAATCGCTTAATTACGGGAGTATTCAAGTCAGCCAGCGTGTGAGCACTTTCATGGCTCGAGAATACCAAGAATATGCCGGAATAATGCTGGTATTTGCTACTCGAGTTGTTTACAACACCATTATACGCACGTGTATATGCAGAATACCATTACCGACAAAGATAAGGGAGACTGGAATGACCATTTCTGGCGTATTGGCCGCCGTCAGACAGTCATGTCCAGCTCTGAGGTGTGGAACACCTGGGGCTCGATCCCGCGCCCTGTTGTTTAGAAGTCCAACACCTCTAACCACTGAGCCACGGGTTCATTGTCCTCTCGGTTGCCCCAGGTGTTCTACTCTTCGGGGTTGGGAATGACTGGCCAACGACGGCTTAACGCTCCCGAGTTATTGTGTACGTTAAAAGCAAGTTTGAAATAAGAGATTCATTGCTAAGGCCCACACCCAGATAGGAACATGCATAAAAATCCAGTCATGGTATAGTCATTCTACAGTTTATACTACTACCATGGGACTACCAATCACGAAGCAGAGAAAAAAGTACACAGCCTCAATTCGTTTACATATATATTTAATGAAGTCAAAGGTGTTCTTTGGGGAAAGGAACTTTATTGCGTAAATTTTTGACGCCGGTTCCCCAGGTCGTTGCCAGACACAGACGGAGAGCAAATTTGCCGACAAAATTTAGCATCTGGCAGTGCGCTTGAAGATCGATAATTGTTCCGCACTTGCAGCAATGGACAGTCGCTATCTGTGTCATTCTGTTCTGATTGGCCCTCGTTTCTTCTATTTTTCCTTGAGAATTGTACGCGGCGTCCAACTCGATGTGCCGGTTGATGCACGATTCATCCGAGTGCATGGCCTCGAGGAACTCTCGGCCATTTTTTAAAGGGTAGACACCGACAATCCGAGTTCTGTCTCGAGCAAAGGCGTGCCCAGTGCTTGCCTACTTGAGGCAGGCGGGCTCGCCTCTTCTGCCAGCTGGCGTTTGAATGCGTGTAGAAGCGGATTTTCCCGTTTGGCCGCAAGAAACTGCATCACATGTCCCACGCGGGATCTTGTAGATGACTTCCTTTTTATCTAAATAGCCAACTCTATCGTTAGGGTGTACTATCCGAGTGCGTATAGTAGTCGTTAGTCTGTGGTCCTCTATAACTTGTTGCTTTTTAGGTGCTTTTCAAGAAGTTCAGACAAGTTTTTAATGTAAGGGAGAGTTCTCCATGTACTTGGCCTCGATGCCTAATTGGAAGTACTTGGTTTCGTTTCTTCTGACCCTTTCTGTTCATGCATCGGCGCACAAAATCCTTGGGGTACCCGCTCCGAGAAAATAATTCACAAAAGTAACTTAGTTCGGCTCGGTAGCCCTCTTCGTCCGAGCAGTGTGTTTTCGCTCGACTAAGCAGACTGTTGATCGTACTCTGTTTGTGGGAAATAGGGTGGTTGCTTTCATAATTCGTACTAGCATCCGCATAAGTTTCTTTGCGGTACACCGATGTGCGTAGTGTTCCATCATTCTTCCGCTGTACGGGAAAATCTAAAAATGGGAGTTCTTTGTCAAATCCTTTCTCGAGTGTGAATTTAATCCCCGGCATTGTTGAGCTGATAGTGTTTTGGAGCGTTTCCAGTTTATCCTTTTTAACGATCACAAATGTTTCGTCTGCGTATCGCAGCCAAAATTTAGGGCCAACTAACGGAAGAGCCGTGGCCTCTAGTTTCTGCATTATGATCTCGGCGAGGAAGCCAGGGATAGGTGATCCCATTAGGGCTCCTTTCGGTTGTTGATAATACCATTGGTCAAACGAAAAATTAGTTCCCATACACACATCTATGAGTTCCAGTAAGGCGGTAGCAGGAACATCCGTGTCATAGGACTCCAGGAGATCCCCTGTGCATTGTTTTGCCAAATCCAGTGGTATGGACGTAAAGAGCACCTTCGACTGCAACCCATATTTCTTGAGATGCCTACCTTCCAATACATGCGTATGAATTACGACCGCAATGTTTTGCATGTTCCTATCTGAGTGTGAACCTTAGCAATGAATTCGTTATCTCATGCTTGCTTTTAGCGTACACAATAACTTGGGAGTGTTAAGTAGACTCCACGACCTTTGCATAAGCGATGAATATTCCAGGGTTTAGTGCGAGTAAAACAGGGGTTTCATTATTTGCCTGCCTTCTAACGTTTGCAAACCAGCGTGTAATCGCACCAGGCAGATTTCAGTTAATTTTCATCCACGTTGGAAACAAAGCCAAAGAGAATTCCAAGCCGTGGGCCCGCCGCTACGACTTATGTTTTGACCTTTCTTACTTTTCGAACGCTATAGTTAGTTGACAAAGCGGTGGCCAATGCGACGTATTTACTTTGGGGCAGAAGACTGATCTGTTGCAGGAAATCGAGACGAAGGGCGCTACATCAGGTGGTGCTCTCGATCCCAGAAATTGTTTCAGTGATCCTCTTTCCGGCTGTGTTTCTAGGTGTTAGCACTCGTTACAGGCGAGGTTTTCTGCTGGGTATACGGAAATGAATGAGACACTGTTGTTACATAATATTTCATGTTGCCTTAGGCCCTAACCTTGTTCATTAAGTGAATAAGGATGTTTTCGTCATTCAACCCCACAGATCACGATAAAAATGCGAAAGTTTAGTAAGCGAGAAGGCAATAACAAACGGTCTTCATTAGAAATGACGAGGCCGTAACCTTTTACTCACACTGAAGGCGGTAGTTTGACGACTTCTAAAGAACCCGAGTCCACATTTTTGTTATGCTAGCATTTCCGGACTATTTAAACTGTACTGAACAAGTTCACGAGGAGCAATTTAATTAATAAGAACTCATACTCTTCTAGGGACGAATAGATGCCACCCCAAAATAGGCTTTCCGTGACAGGCGCCTTTGGGGTTTTAAGTAGCGAAATGAGACTATTAGGACGTAAACAGATTTCAGGCGGATGTCAGACACGCCAAGTACTCCCACAGTGCTTTTCTTAGCTTGCCTTGTATAAGCGTCCACGTAAACTTCCCTATACTAGTTTGTCGATGATTGACCTAAACGCTCCAGGCCGTCTCCTCAAACTACCGGGCCGTCTGACTAGGGATATTGCAGGGCATTTCTAGTGTTCATGCTGATTACTGTTTGGTAGCAGATGGTAGGTGGCGGCACAAACATCACTTGGAGCAGAGCTGCCTGACCCGTTCGGCATTCACGGTTAAAAACAGCTGTACGGGGAGCACAAAGGTTAGAGGCTTGGGATGTCCTATGATAAATTCGGCAAAAAGTGCAATACGGGTGATTATCGGAAATGTTAACCTTACTGTGCCTAAAACTGTAAATTCTACTCCCTTAAGTTAAACGGCTTTCGTCTGTTTGCTTGCACAGTTTCATTCTCCTGATGATTACCTCGATCATGGTTTCGGCGAGGCAAACGCAATGCATTTCTTGGGGTTCACTTAAAAGACGTTTTAAGGACTCTACCAGCTGCTTATAAGCCGCAGAAGGCTTTGCTACACACTCTTAAGCCAAGAGTAATAGTTAAAATGGCCGTGAACTACAAACGCGGCGCCTAAGTGGGGCTGTACGCTTTTCCGCACCCAATGGCCGGGCTTGCTTCGCCATGATAACTCATACACTCAAGACTACAAAATTCGTCGCAAAACGACTCCTTCGCGCGCATTTGCGATTTTCGATGCTATTTCTGGACTTTTTTTATTTCGGTGGTACACCATTCTCAGTTAAGTGTTTACTTTTGCATTCATTCTGAAAATAATTTGTCATTTTTACCCTTTCTAATTTCCTCACAGAAATGAACGTCTGCACGTTCTCTTTCTCCCGAACTTACGCCCCTAATGTCGTTGTATCATGTGAGGACTTTGTCTGCATTCCCCGAGACCAGCCACTTACGTGGCTTCTTTCCAGGCTGATTCTTACTCACGGAATTCCGAAGTTTGCTGAAGCGGGTAAGTTTCAGGGACTTGTTGGAGATCAGTAGATTTCTCTGATGCCCTCCAGGTTTTCATTGAGGAAGAAGAGAAGAAATTCTACGACAAGAGTGCAAGCAAGCTGTATGACGAGTTTATTGCTGATGACTCGAATGGAGAAAGAATTGCCGCTGAACTAGAGACGGCTGTGGACGAAGTTGTTCAATTTTCGAGAGCGATGATATGCTCATCTTTTTAGCGTACAACATCGCGTCGTCAGTTGGAGTCTCTGGCAGACGAGGAGATTTTTGGCCAAGCCTACGCAAGAATAGTTCAGTCAGCTACTGCTATGGATTTAGTTCAACTTGAACACTCCTTCGCTGTGGCTGTCGAAACAGAAATTATCGAACGCAAACGGGCTCTCAATGATATGCAAAAAATGCACGTTTCCCAGTTTACTTTCTTACCTTAGTCATAATGCATGCTGTGTGGTGGAAACCAGAAATTTCCGTCAGCCGGCTTGATTTAAGGGCCTTATTTTACTTACGACGATATTTTACAATCACCTGTTTAGTAAACAGGAATTCGAACTAGGACCAGAAGTATATGAGCTTATTTACAGGTTTTCGCTCCCTGACAGCAATTAGTGTTCAGGGTTCTGGATCGATTTCACCACGAAGTCTGCAAATGTGTCATCCCCTTGCTCCTGGGGTCCTGGACCCGATTTTTGAGATCATCATCTTACGTAGATAGCGATCCTATGCGTGGCAAACAACGGTCCCGAATTTCTTTGATGGCACCACTGAAAAAGGACATATCCGGCTTTGTTTTATTTATTTTGCTTAAAATTCGACATTGTAGGGAAAATCTCAAGCATAATCTAGTTTACTTTACGGTCATTTTGGGCTCTGAAATCCATTTTATCTCTACAAACTCTCGAACAAGCTTTATGTCTTTGACTTAGCTTAGCAAAAACTCCATGTTAAGGATTTCACAGAAGGCAGATAGGTACACGATCGTTTTCAGCAAACCATCGTCAGGTCTATACAGTTGCACATAAAGTTATGATTACTTGGAGTAGATAATTGCACATGGAGAGACAGAGGCAAGGAATAATATAATGTCCATAACAGCATTTTAAGTGACAGAGAAGGAAGGAGAAAAACTTAGAGATCGTGGGGATAAAGTGGGGCAGTTGTCACAGGGCTACAACATGCCGAGGTCGGACCAGGATAGCCGTTGAGCCTGTACCGGGGTCTGCGCACCAGAACTGTGAAACCACTATTTTATGCGGCATTTGAAAAACCTTCTAGGGTTCCAATCCAAACTCATCCTCCGTTGAGTGTTCCAGGGTGAAATTCGAGATTGTTTTCTCGACTCTTATACACTTAGCCTAGACGTGTTCCACACGGTAAACATCGTGGGTTTCGACGGTCGAACTGTCATACTTCCCCATTCGTGTTGATTTCCGAGAGACGCTTTCTTTGTTTGAACCCGAAGTGAAAATGAATCGTTTTCCCTCTCCAGCGAAAAATTGGTGAACGCGTACACATTATTCAATTTTACCGTTCTTCATTCAGTCCGTTGTGTGCATTGTTACGACAAAGCCGCCGCCGACAATCGGTGTGCGGACGATCTCTTTACTTTGTTTTTTTTAATTTTTCCATGAAAATATTAGCTAGAAGTAGTTTTTATAATGACTCCGCGACACCCCCGCCCGTCTTCTAGCAAATATGTCCATTCATTTGAAATTTCATTTTGAGGGTGCAGCCGAATAGCAATTTGGTCGAGGTGTCCATCTGTAGTCTTTATTTTATCTCATGCCCTGAGCATATTTCCACCAATACTCAATAAGTGTGGGAAACTTCTCATGGGAGGATTCAGAAGAATATTTGGCGAGCAAACGTATGCACGCAAAATAGTCTTCTAGATACCCCGTAGTTTCTCATGGATGCTTGAGTCTTTTGCCAAGTTTACAAAACTAAATCAGCCATACGGACGATGGGGAGAGAGATGTGTCTAAAAAGACACCTCTGTTTATGACGAATTTACCATGTTTATTATTCGATCAAATTTTACATCACTGCCAACAGCTCTGCCACATCATCCAAAAAGTCGCCATTTATCACGCCGAAAACAAGTTGGTCGACTCAGGATTAATGAAAAAAGTTAGAGGAGGTAAAAATTCAGCCCTAGTACCGACTCTATCGGAAACTGTAATGGAGGAAAGAGAACATTTAGGTTATTTCTGTCGGCTATACCAATCCATCCACTACTAATTTAACAAATAATCGTTAGTCCTCACGTGCCACACCCCCCCAGTTGCCTGACGTCATTCTCAAAAGAAGATCCAAACTTCACACTAATTTCCTACACAACGGTCCAACCTTTGATTTGGTGGCGCTGTTTCCATTACAAAAATCAGAGTTTGGAGAGCCAAATTGTTTTGCAGGCGCATTGGGGACTGCCTTATGTCCAACGCGCTGTGGGTTGACTGTTCGAGCTATTTGCAGGTATATCAGCCAGGTATTTCGTTGCCACCGTGTCGTCAAGTTTAGACCCGAATTGGACACGGCATCAACCAACGTCGACGCATTTTGCTAATCAGTAAGTGACATATCCCCTGAACTAATAACTGAAATTCCGGAATGTGTTTTAGACTAGAAATAATTACGTAGTTTGGATTGTAATATTGATTATCGTTCATCATAATCCGAAGATATTTCAGCCGCACCGGGTTGCTGACTTTTCAATGCTCTCTTTTTCCGGTCGCTTGCAAGAAACACACTCGATAAAAATGTTACCTACGTAGTATGACCTTACATTGGTTTTCATTGTCCATATAAAATTAAATAATATTTGTGAAAAACATGCATAAAGGGAGCCGTTCTTGTACCCATTTAGCACTAAATCACATATTCCTCGAGTGCTTCATTCGAAGAAAAGGTAACATGGGACTTTTAAATTTTTTTTGTAGTTGTGAGATGTTTTAAGACCCTAGAATTTCCATTCAAATGGCATCGTATCTGTCCGTATGTTAGCGCCCTCTTTAAGCCTACGGCGCGGTCTATGCATGTATATATTGCAAAATTTTATGAGTTGAATATGGCGTATACAGCAATGTATGATTTTCTTTACATGACAAGTATACTGCCTGTAAGCACCCGACCGCCAGTAACATGTCGATAATTTCAGTTGGCGTTCAAGGCACCGATAAGCTTTGAATGTCGGGTGGGGCTGCTGGCCGGGTTCGAGAGAGAGAGAGAGCCCAAAGGCACAACGGGACGAGTGAGTTCCGTAACACGATCGGTAAGCGCCCTTCTACCATTGTATATACCTGATCGCAACTGACAGGACAACGAGCCCGTGGCTTAATGGTTAGGGGCGTTGGATTTCTAACCAAAAGGCCGCGGAATCGAGCCCCATGTGTTCCATGTGGCTGACGACGGCTAATAAGTCGGAAGTTGCCATTCCAGTCGCCCTAGTTTTTGTCGGTAATGTTACTCTACGTATGTCTATATATGTGTGTGTTTGAAATAGGTTAGATTCTTTTTGGGACAGAATAATCCTTATTGCGTAAATTTTCGAGACTTGTTCCCCAGCCCATAGTCAGACTTCTGGGTTATGTACAAAAACAGTTAACTATTTAACCGCGTCAAACTAGTGATTCTGCGGTTGGCCGAAGTTTGCGCCAGTGCGCGTCGATAGTTCTTCGCCACCTCCAGGCAATGGCTGCGCTCGCTTCTATTTTTTCTTGAGGAATTTGTATGTGACATCTAAATCGATATGCCGATTGATGCATTCCTCGTCTGAGTGCATTGGGTAGGTTCATTCACCTTATTTCTGTGTGTAATCATTTGATATACTGACTTCAATTCACTGATTTATGTTATTCGGTTCTTATCGATGTTTTTATTGCATTTTGTTATTAATAAATGCGGTTTCGTTAATACAATATAACGGGAGCAGCAGGTGATAGTGAATTCTCGATTTCCAATAAAGTGTTTATAGGTAACCATGCGGTAATGCAGCAGTTATGCCAAAACCAACCAGAATCTTAAACCAAGTTTCTATCGTGCATCACCAGCTAGGACAATAATCCAATACCAGAGACAGAAGTTTGAAGAAAGCGGAAACTTATACGATCAGGAAGACCGTCTGACTAAATCCTGACAGAAGAGGTGAGGAATTTTGTAAAAGAGATTGATGGCACAAGACAATGAGAAATTGCACGAGCATGTTCTGTTTACAGGTATACCAAAAAGGAGAAAATAGAACCTTTCAAGTACTCTTTGGATCAAGCATTAACAGAAGATGATCCCGGTAGCAGAATTGAATTCTACTCCTCGGTAGTCGACGAAAACAATGTCGATCCACATAGACCGATGAAATTTCGTCTTATCTAAACGATTTTCTAAGAAAACACGACTGAAACGTTTGAAAGTTTGGTTGGTTTTGGCCCAACTCTGGTGCACTATTGCATGGCTAACTAAAGACACTATCGGAAATTGAAAATCCGCAATCACCAGCTGCTTCCGTCATATTGTATTTACGAAACATTATTTGTCTACAAATAAGAAAGTGTGATAAAAACATTAATAAGGGATAAAGGACATCAGTTAGTGGTTCGAATTCACTATATCAAATGATTATACATGCGGACAAGTGAAGTCGACCTGTCTGGTATATAGAGGCAGACCTATGAATTGCACGGTATATTTGGATTTATAGCGGCACCAAAAATAAATGAAAGAAATTTATACTACCTAAATAGCCATTCTTTGCCGAGTTTGGTTCTTCTTCAGGCAGCCGGAAGAGAAGCACATTTAAAGCCCGGCATCCTGGCATGTGTATGGTACCCTGAGATCTTGCCGTACATTCCCATCTGAGTAATTTTTTTTCAATTCAAGTATTTTTCAGACTTTTTTTTTCAGTCATTTTTCAGTCATTTTATCATGCGGTTCGCCACCTACTCTAACTCAACAGTCCTTGTCGATAATGTACGCGAAGGCTTCTAAGGTGCACTGTTTCTTAACTTTTTTGTGATTTCCATGCCACAGGAGGCTTTTCCACAAGCAGAAAACTGACGTTGCCTACTGCAAACTTCTAAACAGGCACTGCTTTTTAAGACCCCTTATAGACTAATTTCGTCTGCCTCTGTGTTTCTTTTGCAGGAATGTCGAGGAGACGGCTGCACTGATTACAAAAGGTGGGAGCAACGAGGCTGTCTCTGAACTCCAGCGCCGTTTTCATGCCGACTATGAGATTCTGAAAACCCAGTGGGACAGTCGCATCAGTGAACTGAAGGAACTGCAACGTCGAAACTACAGATCATTCGTGATGTCTGTGGAGGAGCAGTTGCCCCAGTCGGTGCCGCGCACATCGCCCTCCGATGCTGTTCGTCGCGGCAGTGCTCCCAGGTTTTAAACTATGGTCAAATTCTACCTACAAATTCTACCTGCAACACAATTCTATCACAATTCAGCTACCCCAGGATGCCGGCTTTCGAATGAACTTTTTTAGGTTGCATGCAGGAATTATACTCTGTAAGAAATGTCTACTTAAGTAGCATGCATGTTTCTCGTCGACTTTCGGTGCTCTTAAAAGTCCAATTATTTTTCGTTGAAAACATGCACAAAATATTCATTTTTCTGCTCATTCGGTTGAAAACTAGGTCTTCTTCTAATTTTATACTCGAAGGAGGGACATAATTCGGTTTTAAAAAAGTTTCTATTTGTGGGACTTTTAAATACTTTTAAATCGTCATGCCTCTTCATTTACCACTGTGGCTTCTAAAGGTAACAATATGGATCAAATCCACTGCTAAATTTTATGAACCCCATATGGTCTTATTCTAATACCATAGAGAAACGTATGGTTTTCCGTACGCGGAAAATATACGACCTGTAGTTTGGAAACCCTGAATTCAAGTGTGACGCTAGAGCGGGTTCAAAATTATTCGGGAATTGGATAGTTTTTGAAAACCAAATTATACCCTTCCTTCAAGCATAACATTAGAAGAAAACGTAATTATCTACCGAAGGGGCAAAAGAATGAATATTTTTATGCATGTTTTCCGTGAAATATAGTTGAACTTTTAGAGGCATCGAAAATCAATGAGAAAAACGCATGCTACTTAAGTAATCACTTTTTACAGAGTGTAGTTTTTGCATACAGTCGGAAGGAAGTTCATTCGAAAGCCGGCATCCTGAGGTAACTGAATTATTATAGAATTATGTTGCAGGCTGACTAGTTTTACAACCCTACTTAATTAATCTTTTCGAAACGAAAACGCATTTCGCAATTTCGTTGGCATTTCATGAGTTAACGCACCTACTGTAGTTGCATAGGACTAGACACATCCCGACTTTTTGACTTCTCGGCCCAAGTAATTTATCAGTAATGTGGTGGGGATCACAGACAAACAGACAGTCGCTTCCTATGCCACAAAGCAACAAAGTGAAAGAGGACGTGGTTAGACCGGCAAAGATAGAGAACGAAGACAGTTTTATGCCTGCTCGTGCATCAGCCTCGAATTGCAGCCACGTTAGGAAGAAGGCGCCTGATCGAGCACTTTTATTTTTTCTGAGCTTTCCAACTTGTGCAGGAATCCACCATCAGCGCTGACGCCAGCAACAGAGCAAGTGACAGTTACAGGGGGTCACTAGCAAATAAATGACCAGCGCTGTAGGTGACTTCACGGGCCTTGATCAGACATTTTCTCGCACCAGTTCGACTGTCGTGAGAGACGATGTCCGCCATGTACTCCTCAACAGGGTGAGAGCAGAGACGGTGACTTGCACAGCATCAACCTCACACTCCTCTTCTCCCATCTATGCCCGGTGCCAAGACGTAGTCAGGAAAGCCAGGGGTGGGAGAGGCCGCAGGTGGCTGGCGCGGTCGGAGCCGCCCCTGGGCGTGCACCACACCCGACTCGAATCCCTCTAGATGGGAGTGCCGTAGGGGTCACATTAGGAAGGAGTCATTGCAGCCCGACCCTCATTCCCCACCAGTCTGCCACTACACACGTTGGGCTGACTGCGAGGTCCGAGTTCTCCCCTCAGTTGGCAACTTTCCAAGCCCCTGCCATTAGTGCACCGCGATAGCTTCAAGCGTGCTAAATAGTTTTTAGTGAGGAAAGTCCGCTGAGACGTTGACCTCACTTTCTCTGCTTACTCTCAGGCACCAGTCAACTGTCCGAGCCGGTCAGATGTCCGATGCCAGAAGTAGGTGTAGTTGCTGACAGGGCTAAAGGTCCCATTTGCACACGACATGCACGACGTGGGCCCCCAAACGCGCACACTAGGACTACACTAAAGGGATGGAACGTTCGGATCTCACATGCAGCAGAGGAGCCACACGCAGAAAGGAGCCGAAAAACACACTCCCTACTCCCAGTCTGTGTGACGGATCCGCAAGTGACCGACCAAGCTGGTGTGTGTGATGTGCATAAGCGGTAGCAGTGAAAGCGGAGTAGGTTAGAAGCCGTAGAATCGGCTAGGGTGGTGAGACTATTAGCCGTATCGTGCTGGTGGACAGTGAGTTGTCACTGCTGGATATGGGAGCGTTGTCGGGCACGCAGGGTGTGTTTGGAGCACCGATACTGCGGTGAACTCTGCTTTCGTGAAGGCGCATGTGACCGAATAGACCCACGTGTTGAACAAATGCACGTATGCAATACGGGCAGTGGAGGCGGGTGCGACGGGTGTATGTCGGGGCTTCGGTCACTGGTGCGCCGGTCACAGTTCAAAGGATTCGCAAGTGGCCGGCCAGGCCGATGCGTAAGCTGGATGTACGATCATAACGCGGACAGGTTGGGACCGAGTCCGTATTGATAGTGTCGAGAGCGGTGGCGGCTAGACAGAGCCCGTTAATGGACGCTAGGCGTCGTCAACACCCGTAAGAAACAAGTGATTCAACCTGCTACGAATTTCACGTGGATCCGGAGCTGGACACCCCTACACCCCATTGGCCTAGTAGCAAGCTGGGGAAGCCGCCCCCACTCCACCGACATTGAAATCACTGGCAGCCTCTCCGGTTGGCTAGTCCATCCTCCCAATTGGCGCCAGGATGCGACCTCTGTTAATTTTTTAGTTCGATATTCCCATCGTTCTATGCGTGCACAGAGATCTTTATACAGGCCAGAGAATTTCGTTTCACAAATGAAACTTATAATATAGTTCGCACCTTTAAAGCAATTGGCAGTCGTTTTTTGGTGCTGCAGGCTACGGGAATGCAAGTTCATGCAGTTAGAAAACTTTCCTCTCGGGATGGACTCTGGCCGCCGGTCCCCAGATGTACTGCTTCCTGGACTAACAGGCCGTGTAGATTCGCATGTCCACAGTCTATAAAGTCAGAGACTGGTTGACTGGTCTCCTTCTTGCCTTAGGTCTTTTTTTACCGTTCCCTGTCTGATGACGCATGCCCCAGGGGTCGTTATACACTTTATCTCAGTTTATCCGGTTGTCAGTAAGTACTCCTTTGATCGTTGCGCTAATTCGTGTATTTTCGGAAGGAGCCTATTTAATCATGTGAGGCATGGTGTCAGAGATGTGTAAATCGAAGGGGCTTTGAAACAGTCAGGACTTGTTAACGTCAAAAGTTTTTAAGTGAGGGGTTTGATTTCTTCGAGGCGGTCAAAGTGGAAAGTGCAAAGTTGCCCACCGAGACAATGCCTGTTCTTCTTGTGAGTATAGATCCCAGTTCCAAATTGCCTTGCCTGGGCATCCTCAGCATGCACTTCCACGCGACCATCACAAAATCCCAAAACCAAAAGTCACGACAACAGTGGACCGGGCGTTCGATGTAACTGTTGAGAAACCCCGGTCCACGCATTCTGCTCAAATCCAGCACTCGCCTAGCTTCGCCATCTACCACAACTGCTTTTGCAGACCTTTCCAATCTGCTCGATGTCCAAATCTAATTCCACCAGTCCGTAACGATAGTCCTGCCTGCCAAATAACACTACCAACCACCAATGCTCTTCACTTTTACCAACAAGCACAAACAGATGAAGATGGCCATTGCCTATTAAAGCAGGCAAACTACCATAAATCCAAAGTTAGTAGAGCAGTCCAAGAAATAATTAGTTTTCAGGTAGGGTGTGAGCCAAAGGACTATGAGTTACTGTAGCTGAGTCAGATGTAAGGCATAAGTTAGTTCTTAGCGCAGATCTACCTTGATCCTCCAAATGCTAGGTGCCCCAGGCAACACGATCTCTGAGCTATTTGGGCGCGAATAATGGTTTGAAGTTGTTTTGGAGCCGAGGGGACGTTCGCCGTCTAACAAGTGTTATTTCTGACGAATGTGAAGGGGATTTTACTTGCCGACTTTAAGAACTAATTAAGCATCTGCTCAGCTGACCTGGATACGAATTACCATTCTCATCGTCTAGTATACTTCTCCCACAAGCATACATATGTGGATTCGCAGGCATTGTTGTACGTTCCGTGAACAAACAGGGCCCACTTGACCGTGGCGACCATCATATGACTCAGGTAGACGCCTATGTTATACTGCGACAGTTGAGAAGCTGTCAGGAAATCTGTCGATGTCGGTAAATTATTTCTTTTCCATGACGTACGTCTTCTTTAGTTTCACGTGAGTCGGGATGTCCTTCACATGAACTTCTTAAGAACGCATAGCTTTACAATTATCCTTCAAAATTTGTGTTTTCCTCGGCGTCTTCTTCAGCTCGAGGGATAAACGTCCGGGTGCCACCCCGCCGCGAACTTCGAGGGAGCCAACGAAACCCTCACAACACCTGTCTACCATTCATGCCCAATCTTCTCCCCACGAGCCACGGTCCGAGAGCTTTATGGTCGAACTGGGACGGCAACTTCGCACTTCTTATAACCTAAAACTCATTCAAGCCGATCCCCTGAATCTCATCACAATTGTGGGTTCAGGGCTTTCCGGGCCCCCCGAAAGGTAATTTAGGTCTTAAAAGCAAATTCACCTTCGTGTGTGCTCTAGTCCCTTCGAGCTTAATCTTTAGGAAGTCTGCTTGAATTCTAACCCCACAGTTTCCCGTGACGCTGCAGTAGAAACGTTGTAGGCCGTAAACTTAACAGCTGACCTTGGTTTAGAAGTCGCAACAACCTCGATAGTTCGACCGTCGTTGTCGTCGATATCTACCGTGTGCTTCACAGCAAGATGGTGACTTTTGCGTGAATTAGTTTATAGTGAATGTGGACTTGCACAGTATCCACCTGCCAACCTACTGCTTTCGTGACATGACCATTTTGCCTTGTCTGTATATTGCAAGCATAATATCTACTTAAACATACACAGTAGCTGCAGTATTTAACTTTGATCTTTGTAGCACCGTTTCGCCGACCACGCGAACCGCTAACCTTGCTGAACGACTGAGCAGCGCACTGACAATCTATTCCAACCAACTGACCGGATTAATTATTCTCGTAAATAGCCAGTTCTTCCAGTCTCGGGATCAGAGACGTAAGCATTCACTCTCAGTATAAAAACTCGCCATGTGTATTGCATTGCATTTTCGATTTCCTGCATGAACTGTTAATAGCACCCTCTTCACCAAGTCTAATCGACTGCAGTTAGTTTTCCTCTTCCGACAATTTTTCTCAAATCTGTTCTACCACCTATGAGGTATCTATTATAATGATCCTGCTAGACCGTCATACTTGACGATAACCATCTCTTGGAAGTTTTGCTACCAAAATAATCGACTTTAGTGCTGTCGCACATTAGGCGAGACAGACTTGAGACAAGTTCATTGACATTCCGTAAACTTGCCGGGCGTTCTGATTTAGTTTCGTTTAACGGTCGAAGCGGTTACCAGGGTGTTGCCACCGCGCATAACGCAGCTTTGGGGAGCGACAGATGAGAGCTTGGCTTTAGGTGGGGTCCTAATCGAAGGAGTATCCCGTTCTACTGGGTGCAACTCTCAGTTCACCCCAAAATGGCCACTTTCCGGGACACCTTCCTGGTTCACCTTGCTTAAATGCGCCAGTGTGCACAAACAAGGAAGTAATAGGCGATTAATACTTGGACCTGGCTTATTCTGGCGCGGTAACATCCACCCGAACAACGGAAGGCGTAATTATGTAGCCTCGGTATATTACGTAACATTAAGATTTTGACCAAATGAACAATCAATTGTGTCGACGCCGCCCTTTTATAGTTTCCTCGGAACTTAACGCACAGACTTGGAGGGAATCTCTCCGAACAAAGTTTTTAGGCTTGCTCCGAAAGTTCATATGAATATTTGAGCTGAAGTCCAACGGCTACTGCGGAGTAACGGCGTGGTATTCACAAACCGCCAATAGGCAATCAGTAGTATATAAATACTGGATAGTTTACCTTACTGACCACACAAGAACTGGACACGCGCGTTCCGCTCATATTAGACAATGCTCCACAGGCAACTAGCGCTAATTTCCGGACACAGTCATTGTTTCATGTGATGGGTATTGGACAGAGGCTTCACGCCATACCATGCCTGATATCGTCATCCCCAGCCGGTAACCCTGAATCCCCCAGCATATAGGAGCTCCGGTCGAGCTGACAATTTCCCTGCCACGAACAGTCAAGTGCACCTTTAAGCTATCACGACAATCCTCCTGGCGTTTCACTTATGTCTGATTCTGAACAAATGGACTCTTTGAAACCGGCTCTGTTTCGCTTGTCAATCCTACGAGATCCCATCTTCAAAACGAGTTACTTCGTCTGTTTGAAGACAGCGGCGGTCACTTCTGTGTCTCTATTATTGTTTACTGGCCGAAATGTTAGTAAGGAATCCACCAAACTAACAGGAGGTTCCGGCCGTTAAAGAAGGAATTCTAACTGGGTGAAGGTGTGAGCCGTCGGTTGAATTGATGCTTACGTGGAACCTACCGGTTGTGCTGAGTATTTCGGCGACAGAAAGTAACAGGGCATCGAAAATGAGCATCAGAAGTGCGAAAAACTGCCTGTAGGCTACTGCTGCGCATAACGAGAGAGCATCAGTCGACGAAGCTGTCACGCAGATAAGAGCTTGTTCAGGGCAGTGCTACGACAAACGAAATGACTTAGTGGGCGTTGTGATAATGTGCAACTGCGTGATGCGTAAAAACAGAGCGCTGATATACAGTGTGTATTCAGCTGAAACCACCGACTCATATTCGAGGCCCCACCGATGAACAGAGGCGCAGTGGCTAGCTGAGGCGTTGGCCTCAGACGCACTAATGCCAGTGCGCTCCCTGTTCAAGGTCGCTGTTTTGCTGGCCAATCAAGTCATCGCCACATTTGTGTTACCCGTCTGCCAGGAATGTTCCCCTGCTTGGTCTGCTGTCAGGCGCATATGACCACGGGTGACGGACTGTTAGCTTTGGCGACAGAGGTTTTCGGGGTCACACTCCTTGCATTTAACGTGTTCTTGCGCGCGGAGACGTGGTTTGGTGGAATTAGATTATTTCAAGAAATAACAGACACGGACAAGAGAACTGGAATGTTTGCGTCGTCAGCGAGTAGTGAGCCGGAGTCCAGTTGGTCATTGCACTTGGCACTGCCAGCTGAACCATCCCGTCGTCCGGGTTCGTCCAAATTGAATCACACAAGAGCGGCGTTCTTTGATCTGGGTCCGATTCGCTGGATCAAGTGTGTGCGTTCCGTTTTGTTCATCTATGTCAACCCAGCTCTCGAGTCTTTCCTCCCCCCCCCCCCTCGAGTTGGGGGCGGGGCTGGGTGATGGTAGTTAGCAAGTCAGAAACGGCAATTCCCGTCTCCTTCGTCTGTCAGTAGGGTTCCTCTATTCTTGCTTGATCATCCCTATGCGCTGGCCGACAAGAACCTTAAAGTGGGATCCAAGACAAACCAGAGTCGTCCGATTCCCGTCCTCCAGTCAGAATTAGGCCAGTAAACACCAGTCCCACAGGGCAGTTTCATTTTCACGTAGTTCACAGGAGTTTTTCCCGTTCTCGTACCAGACAGTCAGCTTTTTGTTCTTGGGAGGACTGAAGGACCGGAGGCACGTGCCTAGCATCGGTATCCTGTTTTGAAAAGTTCCCTCGGCTTCAGGACCCTTGATCTCCTTGTACTTACTTGTACTTGCACTTGATGTGGCGGCGATCATGCCTGATTTAGCCGGCCTCGATGATGTCCCGAACTGTACCTCTCCACGCATGACGAGCCGCGGCAGCAGGTCTGGACAGCTCAACCCATTCCCCCTTCGCCAACGACGTAGATCGAATACCGAAGATCCAAGAACCACCTCCATGTCTTGACGAACTGTGTCGAGCCAGGTTTTGAAATGATCCCCTCTTCGACGCCTTCAATGGGCTAACGACGCCTCATCGAGGGCAATAACACTGAGCTCCTAAGGTGGACAACGAAGAACATGCCCGAACTACTTCAGCCGTCTTTCTTGGATGGCCTGAGTTATCCTTGCGATGTTGTCACAGCGAGCGCGGACTGCCTCATTTGAGACGACGTCGGTGAACTCGAAAGACGGTCTTTAAGCAGTGGTGGTCAAATACCTCCAGTTTTCGCCCGTCCTCCACGCGCAAAGTCCAGCATTCAGAACCGTAGAGAAGGACAGACTGGACAGATGCACGAAACACGCGAATCTTAGTGGCGATGGAGAGGTCACTTCGGATCCGTAGGCATTTTCGAAGGCTTGAGAAAACCCAGCGGGCAGCATCGATTCGGGAGACAATGTCGTCCTTACTCTGTCCATTAGGCAGCAACCTCGCCCCGAGGTATTTAAAACTGCCTACTTCTGTAGGTTGACAGCCATCGATCCCGAGAAGTACCTTCTCCTGGTCAGGGATGCAGCTTGAAGACCTCATGAAATATATGTCCCCCTTGATGCCCTCCCCTAGTAATTACCGATAATGCCAAATGGAGACCAGCAGGACATTTTTTCAATCACCTTGATGCATTCTGCAGTTCAACCCGGTCTATCCTCTCGCCTACCACTCATCACACGCACACCCTTAGTCTGTATGGTGTGTTTATGTGCGCCAGCACACGTGTGTGTGTGTGTAAACCTGTGCCTTCTCCGTCGTCCTTATCACGACGCGCGTGTTTATTTGGTTTTGCCAGGGCTTGCCGAAATTTGCGAACGCTCGACCGACTTCCACTTTCCGGAGTACGACCATCAGTTGGCCGAGATTCAGGACACAATTAATCATCTCTTGGCCGCCGGTGTCCGCAGCGGTGAATCCAGTGCTGGCGAAGAACGACCCGCAGCAGACCAGGGTTAGTGATCCAACCTCGCAGTTGTCAGCCGGTTGGTAGCGTTTTTTTTACAGTCCGTTGCCCCCCTCCTACCGGCCGGTTGCCATTTGGTCTTTTATGTTAGCCTCTACCGTTATTCGGAATCCTGACACCTCGCCTCGAATTCGGGCACACATGCTTTTATCGTTGTTGTCGTAACGGCCTCCACCTTGGCCTTCACAAGCGGGCGACGTCTGCTTTGTTAATCGTTTGTCTGTTGCTTGTTTGGAAAAACGTCCGTTTATGTCACGGTGAAGTTTTATTGAGGGAAAGGTAGGCGAACGCCTAAGAAAACACCGGTAAGTAGGGTAGCAGGGAAGGCAGGGGGCGGGGGTATGTGGGGGCTGCCAGTAGACTGATGTAACGCCGTCTTGCACGGAAATGTGTTTTCGACTAGGAAGGGTTACTTAGGTGGGGGTTGTAATACTGATTTTTATGCGACATACTCCTATAATCTTCCGGACTCGCCAGGATGTCGGTTCTTGAGTTCACTTCTTTTCGATCTCCCGTAGAAACTGCAACCCGTAAAAAATGATCACTTAAGCGACATGCATTTTTCACAATGATTTCGATATTCCTATAAATTCAAATGTATTTTCTAGAAAATATGCACAAAATATGCTTTCTTTTTTGCGCATTTGGTAAAAAATCGCACTGTCTTCGCATTTTATTAGGTTATGAAAAAGTCTCCAAATTCTCGAATAATTTTTAGTCCGACCAGCCGTTGCACCAGCGTTTAACGATCTCAGTCTGCAAGGTGCATGCTTTCCGCGTCGGGAAAATCATATGTTCCGTCGTGCCTTTAAGAATGTACCACATAGGGTTCATAAAATTTTGCAGTGGATGCGGACTATGTTGTACATTTCTTGAGAGGCATTGGTGAATGGACAGGTACGATGCCGTGTGAATGGTCATTGCACGGTCTTAAAAAAATTCATTATTAAAAACTCTTTTGAAGCCGAAAGATATTCTTTTTCCTGGTGTAAAATGTAAAGACGACGCGAATTTCTACCGAATGAGTGGAACAAGGCATATTTTTGTTCATTTTTTATAAAATATTTTAGAATTTATGAGACCATCGAAAATCAATGTGGAAAGTGCACGTCACTGGGTGCGGTTTCTATAGGAGGTCGAAAAGACCGATATCCTGTCGAGTCCGAAATATTGTAAGATTATGCCGCAGGATAATCGAGTTCAGTAAGAACGATCGTTGAGCGCCCCCTATTCCCGATCGAAACCGACAGGGCAACGCGCTCGCGGCTCAGTGGTTAGGGGCGCGAGTTCGATCCACGGCTGCTCCACACTCCGGAGTTGGGTATGACTGGCTGACGACGGCTAATCAGCCAGAAATGTTCATTCCAGTCTCCCTTGTCTTTGTCGGTAATAACATACTGCCTACATATATATTATAAGCATTATATCAGTATTACAGCCCCACCTAAGTAACCCTTTCTAATCGAAAACGCGTCTCAGGATTTTGGTCAACATTTCTTGAGATCGGTCGCTCACTGTATTATGACCCTGACCATCACCTGGGAGCGGCAAAACCCTAGCAAACGCGCGCGTATAAACGCGGTAGTTTGACGGTCACGGACGACGATGACCACCGTCGCCCCACGAGGTGGGCGCATGACTGACTTGCGCTGCGTCTACCTCACTCTCTTTCCTCGCACACCCACTGTTCTTCCACAATAAGACGGGGTCAGCAGAACCCGAAATTCGCGTGGGTGCAGTGGCCCTTCTGCGCATGTCGCACGCGATCTGATCCCCCCAAACATGTACCAAACTTTCATGGAGCCGGCTCGGATCTCACCTGTGTGAGAATGCCATAAAGGTTGCATTTAGAAGGAACCATTCCATCCTAGGGTCTTAATTCTGAAAAGCGCCAAATTACCTTGTCAGTTGACAACCTACCTGACCACGGCTCTCAGCGCGTCCTGATCGATTAAAACGCCTCATATTTATTGCTAATGAGGCATACGCCGACGTGTCCCAATAAAATAGTAAGTCATTATTGTCATCGCCCTCTTCGTTTTTTCTGTTTCCCAGTGAACCCTTCGAGCCTTTAAACCGGCTGGTGATGAAGACTGGGCACAGTGGCCGACTTGACATAAAAATCTCCCTCTGGGGCATTCCAAACGCATGTACAGTGAGTGACCGATCTCATGAAATGTTGGCTGAAATTCTGAACTGCGTTTTCGATTGGGAAGGATTGCTTCGTCGCGGCTGTAATACATATTATCTTGCGGCATAATCTTATAACATTTCGGACTCGGCAGGGTGTCAGCTTTTGAATACACTGCTTTACAATCTCCTGTAGGAATAGTACTCCGTAAAAAATGAATACTTTCGTAGCATACATTTTTCCCATTGATTTTCGATAGTCTTGTAAATGCAAATATATCATATAGAAACCACATACAAAAATGTGCTTTCTTTTAGTCAATTAATAGAGAATCACGTCTTCTTTATATTTTATAATTAAGTAAGGAGTATAATTAGGTTTTTAAAAAGTTTCCAATTATGAGACTTTTTAAGACCGCGATATGTCCATTCACATAGCATCGTACCTGGCCGTTTACCACTTCTCCTCATGAACTGTACAACATGGTCCTCATCCATTGAAAAAGTTTATGGACACTGTATGATATCTCTTTAATGACACAGAAAAATATGGGATTTTCTTTACGCGGAACGCATGCACCTTGTAGAGTGTAATCACTAAGCGCTAATGCAACGAATGATCAGGCTCCAAAGTTTTTGGCAATTAGAAAACTTTTTAAAAACCTAATTATACTCCTTCCTTGAGTACAAAATATAAAGAAGACGTGATTCTCTATTAATTGACTAAAAGAAGGCATATTTTTTGTTTGTGGTTTCTATAAAATATATTTGAATTTCCAAGACCATTGAAATTCAATGGGAAAAATGCATGCTACTTAAGTAGTCATTTTTTACCGAGCACGCTTCCTACAGGAGATTGAAAAGAAGTGCAGTTCAAAGCCGACATCCTGCTGAGTCCGAAATGTTATAGGAGTATGCCACAATTTAATCAGTATTACAACCGCGACCAAGTAATCCTTCCCAATAGAAAACGCATTTTAGAATTTCAGCCAAAATTTCATGAGATAGGTCACTCACTGTAAGGTAGTTGCCAGAGTCTTGTGGGCCCAACACAGTCGCGTGTCATGAGCCTGTCCGACCCAATGTACTTGCAGAGCAGCTAGTTTATAAGTCAAACGCACGCGCACACGACAGTTCGACTGTCGGCTTCGACGATGTCCACCGTTTGCTCCACAGCAGGGTGAGAGCAGGGACGGCGACCTGTGCGAAAATTTAGTTTAAAGTGATACTAGACTTGCACAGCATCCAGCGCACTTCCTTCTCCTCCCCCACCTGGGCCCATTGTCAAGACATGATCAAGACAATCGGAGGCGGGGGCGGGCGCAGGTGGATGTCACGGTCGAGCCCGCACCTTGGTGTTCCACCCCAAACGCCCTGGTTCACAAAACAAATAACCAGGTTTTCGATTCACAACAACAATGGAGGGTGGCTGGGTCCCAGTGTGCGCGAAGTACGCCGGCAACCGGGTTCGCCACTGCACCCCGAAGTGTCGACATTTGTTGCGGTGCGCAACTCCGATAAGGCCTGCCAGAGTCCAATATGACCCCCGTGTTGGTCCAACGCATCTACCACTCGGCCCGTTTGGGGGGCACAATATACTTACACTGCAAGGGTGACAACATTTCACCAGTACCTTGCTACCTGGTATTCTATATCACCACAGATCTGTTGGCTTCTCAAAACAGAAAGCCTCAAATGGGTGGCGGATATCACGAACAGGCAACGAGCCACCAGGCTGAAGTCAGCCAGGGTGTGATAGTACTACGAAAATGGCACTGACATGCTATTTGGAGTCTACTTGACGCCACCAGCCGACACTCCTACTTTCTGTCTCGTCTTTTTCTATATTGAAAATACCTCTATGCTGTCAATTATTAGTCGCTATCCGATCATCTCTATGGACCGCGGACCCTGAGCCCTGTCTTATGCCCGAAATAGATCCATGAACTCAACTTCAGCGCGACTGCACGTGATCGCAGTTGACAACGCGCTCTCCGTAGTCCGGGTGGTGGTGAGAACGTTTGGCTAGAGTGCTAGACAACCCTTGCACCCCGAGGGTTTATCTCAGCAATACGGTGCACTATCTCCTCTTAACTATCCGCTTCTTAACCACCGTCACGTCACCCAACGTCAACACTGCCAGGCTTCTGCCTGTCGAATTGATTTTCCCTTCACTGTCTCCGGTCTTTTTGCCAGTTTGCTGCTCCGAGCTTTGTTTGACAGTCACCTTATCTGTCTGCTAGATTACCGCCTCCAACTACTACTGCTACTACTACTACTACTACTACTACTACTACTACTACTACTACTACTACTACTACTACTACTACTAATACTACTAATACCACTGCTGCTGTTACTACTACTACTACTGCTGCTTC